TCCACTCCTCTCTCCACTCCTCTCTCCACTCCTCTCTCTCTCTCTCTCTCTCACATCTCCTCGCGATGACCAGGAGCAAGTCCAAAAGTGACGACAATTCTGCGTTTCGCGACCGGACCCCCCGATCCCTGTGACTGTTAGCACTGTTGAGATGCAACGAGCAAACGCAAGTCCAAAAGTGACGACAGTTCGGCGTTTCGCGACCATGACCCCCCCGATCCCTGTGACTGTCACAGCACTTTTGAGATGCAACGAGCAAACGCGAGTCCAAAAGTGACGACAGTTCTGCGTTTCGCGACCAGGACCCCCCGATCCCTGTGACTGCTGCCACTTTTGTAAGGCTAAGCGTAAACAGTGACGACAGTTTTGCCCTTCACGACCCTTTTCGACTCCCAAGGATGCGCGACACTCCGCCGCACTTGCAAACGTTTTGCGGACGCTTGCGAACGCTTGCGAACGCTTGTGAACGCTTTGCGGATACAAACGGAACGACTTGTGGTCACCTCCTGGACCCTGGGCTCCAACCTTAAAACGGGAACCCTTCTGCTGAGCATTGGGGAAAAGTTAGCAGTCCCCTCTGGGAGGTCTTTGGAGGGTGCAAGGGCCCTAAATTTTTGGAAGCCGCGATCTGATGCGGAACGGCAAGTATTTAATCCTTGCTCCATGCTGATAATTCTGTTCACACAAAGCCCTGTATTATGTGACCCCCGTATTTTGTCAACCCACTTCCATGTGATTTTCTATTTCATTCTCCATCAGCAGCCGCCCAGGACAGTGAGTGTAACCAGAATGCCCAAACCTGAATCCTGAAACCCAATCTCCAGATCCTAATCCCCCTAATCCCTAAGCCCAGCCCAGGAAGCTGAATGATCTGGACCTTTCCGACAATCTTCTCCGCTCTCTTCCCGAAAACCTCTTTGCAGGCCAGACAGGACTGCAAAAGCTGGACCTGGCCTCGAAGCTGGGTGAGCATTAGGGTTGAGAGGTGAGGGTGGAAGGGAGCATTTATAATAATCACCTTCCCATGATAAAAAAATCGCGCCCTCACCACCCCCCCTCCCCCCCCAAAAAAAACAGATTAATAAATGTATGTGTAGGGGAGTGATTACCATGTCTTTTGGAAATGGTTTTTCTTATGTACGGCGTATCTCTGCAGTGCCCAACCGCAAACTATAACTCCCAGCAGTGCCCAACACAAAGCATGTGAGAGGTTGCCTTCAGTGCCCAACTACCGCAGAGTGCCCCTGAGGTGCCCAACCGCAGCGTACCCCGGCAATGCCAACCGCAGAATAGCCTTGCAGGACCCGAGCGCAAGGTACCTTAGCAGTGCCAAACCGCAGAGTACCCCAGCAATACACCCAAACGCAGAGTATCCCGCAGTGCCACATTGCCCAACTGAATGCCAATCTGGCAGTGCCACACTGCAGAGTATCCTTGCAGTGCAATGCCCAATCGCAGAGTGTCTTTGCCCCTAAGCGTAGAGGATGCCTGCAGCTCCCAAACGCAGAGTATCCCGGCAGCGCCACATTGCCGAAGCGCAGAGTCTCCCTGCAGTGTTCAACTTCAGTTTATCCCTGCTGTTCCCAGCGCAAAGTACCCCAGAGGTTCTATGCACTCCCTCAATCTCTCCCCTGCAGTGCTCAATTTTAGGGTGTCTCTGGACTCCCCAACCTCCGAGCGTAACTAAGAAAACTCCAAGCCTCACCCAAGCTACTCCTCCACCTCAACACGTACAGTTGTTATGTCTGCAGGCTGGCACAAGGTTTAAGAACTACGTTGTTGATACATGTTCCATATTGTTGCTGGAAGTAGTTGATAGTTCCCCACCATTACAAACACGCAACGGTGGAAATGCTCGAAGTAGACATGTGTGCATCATGTTACTTGTGTTATTGCTAAGATTATTGAGAATTGTGCTGTTTTACAGCGCGTATACTACTGTTATTTGTTTGATAACATAGGTTCCATGCTATAGGGGCTCAGGAATGAGCTGCGGGCTCTGCCGGCCAAGCTCTTCAGCAACCTCACGGCGCTCGATCACCTCAACTTGAGCTGCAACAGTTGCCGGGGTGTTGTTAAGGAACTTGATTTGAGTTACCATAATGGGGAAAGCATATCAATTACTATGTATACCCATTCTGGTAACTTAGTTTCAAGCAATGAATTACCCTTAGATAGGGTAATTCCATAAATCACTGTAGATTCATTGGGGTAACCTAGCTTCAGTTCCCAAAGAGACACCCAGGTTGGGGCTCCTTGCCGGAAGACCTGTTGAGTGGCTTGACGGAGCAGGTCCATGTGTTTAACAACCAAGCCTCGGCTTGTGACGAGCCAAGCCGGCATGTGAGTGCGCGCAGGCATTGTGCTTCTTTTGGTTGGTTTCTCCCCATGGCGTAAGAGTTTAGACAATGGTTCATGTGAGCTATAGTCAAAACCACTTAAAGGGGATTATATAGGCGACTTCTATAGGGCTTATTGAGGGGAATACTAGGAGTTTAGATTATAGCTCATGTAACAACCAGTAAGAAAGTGTTGTCCATCATTCAGGATACTTGAATTGCCGTTAAGGAATTCATCCTAGATTACTATACGTACTGGGGGATCCATAGTACTTGTGATATATACACACACATAAACCCATTGTGGTAACTTAAGCTCTAAACCCTTTATACCCATATTATGGCAACTTCAAGTTACTTAACAGCAAACCAGAGAAGCCTGAAGGTTTTAAGGCCGACCGCTTGTCCCTGCCGACCCAATCTGCTTCGAGAAAACTCTGTCCTCACTTTTAGGGGTTGAGGGTTTGGGGTTCAGGGGTTTAGGGGGTTTCCGATTTAGGGGTTTAGGTGTTTGGGGGTTTAGGGTTTAGGATTTAAGGGTTTAGGGCTAAGGGGTTCAGGGTTTGCCAGTAGTACCTACAGTTTTATGGGTTATACCCATTCATCAGGGTGCAATTAATAGTAAGCTGTAGCACACAGAAGCTGTTTTTCAACCTGTGATAACAGGTCGTGGACCAACGCTGCGCGGAACCCACCCAGCTTTATGTATGCAGTTGTCTCTCATCCAACATGAGAGTAGATTCATACATATTTGCATGCTTTGAGGCTGTTGGACGAAGTTCGCGCTGACTTGGTCCTGGCGAACTACGACATGGTGGCCGATCTTGGAGCTGACATCCAGATGCGAACGAGGTATACCCCTAGGACTCAGCCTCCCGGCTTTCCCAAGTATATGGAGTCAAAGAAACTTTACATGAGATTTAGGGTGTATTTACATCCCAGAAGGCTGAAGAAAGCCTAGGCCTCAGCTGGCAGATTCAGACCTAAGTAGCCCACGGATTCTCACTGCACTGCGGACATTCGGAGACTCTTCAGAAGGAGAATTATCATCCTGAAGAGGGACTTCAGTCTGTGTAAGTCGTATTTCCATGCAAGGCAGGAGAGCTTGCTTCCAGCACTCTTCGAACTTCTTGCTTGCCAGGCCAGGCCCGATGGCAGCATCTCCTCCCAGGTCCATTCGAACAGGGCCTTCGGAGTGAGCGTCTGCAAGTCAGGGCCAAGAGGCAACAGCCTGGAGCTCAGAACTGCAAGCTTCACTCCTTCATGAAACTCTTCTTTCTGCTACCAAGCCTGATCCTTAAGATTGGTTCTGCTCCAACACATCAAAGCATCATGCTACATTGGTATACCTTGTGCAGCTTAGGTTGCCTGCATGCTGAAGTATAGATGTTTCCCCTTGCCTTTGCCTGGCAATGGAGACCATAACTCCAGGCCTGGCGAAGGCTGGAAGGTTGCCAGAAGGGCAGGCTACCATGGGATTAAACAAATCGGGCAACGCCCTGGGGTTGCTGCCGCAGGCCATGGCCGTCACTGGGGCTACGACTAGTGTCTAGATTTTAGGGCTGCATTAAAAACAAGAGCGGGCTGGTTCTTTTAGCGCTCACGCCAGTTTCCGCTGCACTGCATGTTTTTCTATTTGGTTCTCCATCACTGGCGTAATCCTTGAGCCCTCAGCACTTTATCTTCACCCCATATACCTCTTTAGGCTTCTAAATCCCCTTAATACAACCAAGCCAACGTTTAGTTTTGTAAAGGCTGGGATGGTAAGGCTTCCTCAATCAACCGGTCCAGCACAAAGGAGTTATAGCCTAAACTCTTATGAGCTACAGTTTAAATTCCTTAAAGAGGGGTTATATAGGGGAATATTCTAGGGGCTATTAATGGGGATACTCTCGGCTTGTACAGCGAACAGCTAGTGCGTGTTTTCCCATGCATGGGTCTAGTTGGAGATCTATATTGAAACCAAGGGGGTTTCTGGCTTAGGGTTTAGGGTCTGTACTTGAGTGAAGAGAGCATCGTAAAGTGCAGGGCTTCGAATGAGGGTCAGTATGCTATGCTTGACCAGCGTCATGCTTTCCAGCCTCAGCTAAGCGTCGCTAGTACGAGGATCAAAGCACTTTCTCGTGAACACTGTCTGTGTGTGTGTGTGGAAACACGCTACAAGCTGAACTCTAAACCCTAATCCGACCTGAAACCCTAATCCCTGGACCCTAAACCCTAATCCCTAGACCCCAAACCCCTGAAGAACGCTGTGCAGTTGGCTTTGAAAGCCCCGAAGGTACCTGGTCATGGACGCCACCTGCAAGAACTCCTTGTCGCCAGTTGGGTCCTCAGGTTTAGGGTTTAGGGTTTGGGGGGGTTCCGGGGCTACAGATTTACTTGGCCGCTCCTGGAATCAGGTTTGACTGCTTTGTATAGATGATGATAGCCTGCCCTCACTGCGCCATAGAACCTTGACTATCGATGACATTCCAAAAACATGGCTTCCGTTTCTGTTGTCTGTTATCCCGAGAGCCAGCCGAACCCGTCATTCCATTTTCGTTCCAAGGAACTTTTGGAATCTATGCCCAAAACCTTAAACCCCACACCCCAAACCCGAACCCCAAACCCTAAACCCTAAACCCTAACCCCAAACCCTAACCCAACCCCCAAAAATCAGTTCTGGGATTAGGGTTTCGATGTGCGGGTTGGTTGTCCAGAGCTAGGTTTGCGGGCTAGGGTTTAGGGTTTAGGGCTCAGGGCTTAGGTTTAGGGTTTAGGGGCTGGGAGACGAGGATTTTGGAGTTTGCGGGCTTATATAGGGGTTAAAGGGATAATGGAAAAGAAAATGGAAGCTATTATTTAGGGTTTAGGGTTGAGGGTTCAGGATTAAGGATGATTTAGGGAGTATGTCGGATTTAGGCTTCAGGGTTTGGGGATGAGCTATTAACCAAGATTCCAAGATGCTTGTCATGAGACGCCTCGGAAGTCGACTTCTAACCCGGGTTTGTGCCAAAGAAGGCTGTCTGGCTTCAAGTGAGCTATAGTCAATAGTCTAAATTCCTTAAAGGGGTTTATGGGGATTGTATATGGGAGCATTATAGTGGTCATTAGGGGGATACTAGGAGTTTAGACTATGGCTTCACATGTCCCAATGCAAACAGACAAAGATGCTGCCTGGATCTGTGAAGGACGTCGGTTAAACTGGCTTCCCAGATCTCCCGAAGCAAGGTTCCACCCTGAACAATGTTAAGTGCCTTGTCTTACTGTGGGTTAGTAGGGAATATAGGAACATATTATATAGGGATTGTATAGGGATATTATTCCCATATTCCCTACTAACCCCCAGTAAGTTGTTGTGTTTTGAGGAGGTGTATCCTAAGCCTTCAAACTACACTGCATGCACCAGAGCTTTCGCGCACCTCTGTCTGACCTCGACGTCGCAGACTTTTGCAGCACCTTGAACAGCACGGGCATGAACAGTGCCGGTCTGGAGAACAACAAAGATGCTGGAAGTTGCCAGTCTTGGAAGGGTGTATTGTCTAGGGTGACCCAAAATCTTGAACCCAAGGCCCAAAACCCCCAAACTGAAACTAAAGCCTAATTCCCACACCCCTGAACCCCAAACGCGAATCCTTTGACCCCAAATCCAAATCCCGAAATCCTGCACCCCAAAAGCTTTTATCTAAACCAAACACCCTAAACTCACCCACCAAACAAACCATGCACCCACCGCGAAGTGGCGAATGCAAGGCCTGCTGCATGCTGGATGACTACTGGACCTGAGCGTGTCAGGCGACCAAGGCTGCGGAAAAGAACAACAAGCGGGGGCTTCTCAATATTAGCATTTCACCTTGGAGGTCCCTATAATCGGGGCTATAGTATCTGGGGTCTATGTTGGGGTCCCCCTTTTCGGGGAAACCATCAAGTGCACCTCTCCACAGATCATGTAGCACTGTTAACTAGAGCGCACAGCTTCCTTTGTATAGAAGCAGTCTCGTACCTTCCGGAGAGATGAGCGCTGAAACTTTGCATGGAGACTCACCGAAGACAAAGCCGTAAATAGGAGAATCCGGGTGTAGGGTTTATTAGGGTTCAGGGTATAGGCTCTAGGGTATAGGGTTTATAGGGTTTAGGGTCTGTAGGCTCTAGGGTATAGGGTTTAGGGGTTTTGGGGATGCTTGCCGTAGAAGTATTTTACAATTCACGGTGCCCTTGAGATGAGGGCTGTAATTGTGCCTTTCAGCTGTTTAGGGTTTAGGGTTTAGGGTTCCTTACAAAACTGTAGTGTAACGTACCCCGCAAAAAACACGTATACTGAGCATTTAGGCGCCCTACATCACGACGCAAGTGCAAGAGCTGGGTTGCGGTCAAGGAACCTAGATTAAGTCAACATATATTAGTATATATTGTAAAAAGTAGGGTTTCCTCAATATAGTAACCTAAACCCTATATACCGTTTAGTGACTCAGTTTAAGTTCCTTAACAGCAACCCAGACGAAGGCAGGTCAGGTGTTGGTGTTCATGACTTGTCTTACTGGCTCTTATTAGGGACTATGACTATCTGAGCCCCATTCATACAGGGGGGTTAGTAGGGAATAAGGGAATAGAGGTTTATGGTTTAGGGTTTGGGGTTAGTAGGGACTATGGGAATATATTATGTAGGGATCAATTATTGACGGGTTATATACGGATTATATTCCCTCAGTCCCTGCCAAGAACCAGTAAGTTGTGCGTTCATGTCAACCTCGTCAATCTCCAGGCCATTTGGTTGAGAAGGTGAACCACGGCTGAAGAAGATTCGGAAGCGTCATTGTATCTCAGCCCCATTTTACATTATCCAGGCCCCGATGTATTCTCGTTTGGGCTGGAGAAAGCAGCATCACGTGAAGATCTATAGATTAGCCCGCGGGTGCTGCCCAGAAGCCACACTGTAGCCCAAGATGGATTTGGTTTTAAAGGTGCCGCAATGGCCCCTAACATATCATAAGCCTTTTTCAAGGGATCCCGTAAGAAGTGGCCCTAAACCCTAAACCCAAAACCCCAAAAAGGGACCTCTCATTTTGGGAACGTCCCATCTAGGAAACTAGGACAGTAATGGACCCCAACACATCAAAAGCCTTATTGAAGGGATGGATCCCTAAAAAGGGATTCCTGATTTTGGGCAATTCCCATCTAGGAAAGTAGGACATTAGGACAGCTTCATGGTGCGGCTCCTTTGCGCTGTGCTGCTGCTGCTGCCGCCAGTCAATGCAGCTACCCACCAGAGGCTTAATTATTTGACAGTTGAGGGTTTAGGGCTTAGGGTGGGGATGTTGGTAACCCCAACCCCCAAACTTTGATAGTCATGGCGTCCTAATTTTGGGGGTTGGGGTTACCAAAATCCTTTTTTTCAATTTGGGTGCAGAGTAATTTTCTTCATCATCAACTTTCCCATGTGAGCTACTGTCAATATTGGGACTACCGCAGGTCCACTGAAGGTGGACGTAGGGCTCGCCTTCGTATTCCCTCACAGGAATCCATGTCCACGAAGTATCTGGAAACACTGACTGTAGCCATTGTCCTTCTTTCTTGAATGAGCCATATGCAGCGTATGAGGTGGACATCAACAGTGGGGTAGCTGTTGAGCAACGAGTGGTGGCTGATCCCTAAGAGAGCGCAAGTATCTGAATTTCTTTTGGGTTCTCGTTTTCGTCGTCTAACCTTTGGTTAGCTGGGAATGCAGGAATGGAAGCAAAATGAAACTCTATACTCGATTATATAGGGATCACTAAAGAGGATGCATTCCTTCATTCCTAGCTAACCAAAGGCCAGTCGTTGTCTGCCCCAGTTCTGAGATTGTTGTTCGCTGCACGTCGTCTACACTGCTGCTGCTACTACAACGAGGACTACTTCTTTATGTACTCATTATTACCATCGTTGCTGTTGCTACGATTGCTACATCGGTTCTCCCTAATTACGTACTGCCATAAAGGTCCCAGTGCCCACATGTTGGGGAGTGAGGTAGTGAAAACCAAATAGTACCATAGTCTTAGCGGATGGTTTTTAAGTACCTGTTGTATAGCCCAATCTTCTGGGTACTTGGGGCCTCTGCTCGCAGGTTTATTTGGGGCAAGCAAAAGTTCAGGGTGGTGCTCAATGCAGTGGTATCTTTGATGAAGGAAAGCAAGGGCGATGTTCAGTCCTTATGTTGTTGTGGTTCACCATATAGCTGCCTGGTTACTCTCAGCCTTCCCACTCGTGCCCAGACGTGTAATGTGTGTAATGTGCGCGGTTCGCACGGTGAGCATTTCATTCATGTCTTGCGTGGAGGAATCAAATCCAACACGTGCACAAAGGTTAGGGTTTTGGGGTTTTGGGGTTTTGGGTTGAATGTTGGCTTCGCAAGAATCATTCCCCTCGGTCGATCTATCTCCGTTTCGGGAGGGCCCCAGAATTATCAACTAATCTGAAGTCAACATTATGGGTCTAGGGCTAGCGGTCAGGGATTTGGGGTCAGGGTTTCATGGCAGAACAACCCAACAAGCTGCGTCTGTTGAGACCTCGCCAAAATTCGAGCCATCATAGAAACACGCGATCTGCAAGACTTGTGATGACAAATGTCCAACCAACTCGTATGGAACCCGGCAACAGAACCACAAGCATTGATCATAGCCGAGCGCACATCGAGAGGCAGCGCAGCGTACACCCAAGACGTTGCAAGCAAGACATGGAAGCAGTTGGCTGTATTGCGCATCTGGCAATATCTCAAAGCAGAGTGTCTGTTTACTATTTGCTAGGCTCTTAGCCACTTGCTGGATAACAGCTCAAGCTGAAGCATGCTTGTGAAGACTTGTCTGAACTGTGGGCTTATTCTAGGTCAGAACGATTGTGCGGCCCTTGCATATGAGATTTCAGGGAGTAGGGTTTAGGATTTTAGTGATTTAGTGTTTCAGGGTTTAGGGAATAGGGTTTAGGGATTATATGGGTTTGTATAGGTGGGGTAGGGATTTAGGGCCCCCCCAAATCCACTTAACACATCAGCAGGATTGAAAGCCTGAGATCTGAGGCTGTCAGCTTCAATGAGGCGGCACTAAATGAGAGTTGGTTCAGGGTTTAGGGTTTAGGTTCCTCAAAATCATAGTGTTAATGGAGAAGATACTGCACCACCGCAAGTTCCGTTGGCCTCAAGAATCACAGTAGCTTAGGGGCTTTAGGTGGTGCAAGATTTCTTAATTACGTTAGCAAGTAAGTTGCTCGCGGTTACTCGCCAAGTAGGCTGATGAGGCGCATGGCTGGTATGATTAGGTACATGCCTTTTTCAAGTTGAGGTTCGCAAGCATGTACTTCGACAAAACTCCATGTGAGCCAGAGGCCAAACTCCTGGTATCCACTATAGTAACCCCCTATATAGCCCCCTTTAAGGAGTGTAGACCCCAATCCCGAAACCCTAAACCCCTAAACCCTAAACCCTGGATCCTAAACCCTAAACCCCTGAACCCTTCTGAGAGGCAGCTGCGAACCCTCAGCTGCCCACCGCTTCGCAGTTCGCTTCACGCCTCCTGGGGCTGCCCGATGCTGGGCAGCACAAAGTGGTGAACGCTTAGGGGTAAGGGTTTTAGGTGTTTGGGTTTAGAGTTTTAGGGTGTAGGGGTCAGGGTTTAGGGTTTAGGATTTTAGGGTTTAGGGCTTAAGGTTTAGGGTCCCAATTCTAGGATGAAGGGCTTAGCAAGAACGGCAATCCAAGATGAGAAATTACATGGAGCAGGAATGGAAGCTGGACACATACAGGGGTTTATAGGGACTGTACAACTGAACTTGAATAGCCATGCAAATCTTCAGGCGGCTTTGGGAATTTGAGCCATTCGGTGGCATTTGTCAATAAAATCATCCTACAGCTTCCGGAAGCGAATGTAGGAATTGAGTTTTCTCTGCAGCGAATATACTCCCAAAACCCAAAACCCAAAACCCTATATACTCCTTTTTTACTCCCTAGGCACCCCAGGCACCCCTTCAAAAGGCACCCCTCAACGCTCCTAAGGGATGGAGATCTTGAATCTTAGGGATGGAGACCTCGTGACTTAAACTCCAAGCCCTACACCTGCAATCCAGCGCCCTAAATCCCTACCCCACCTATACAAACCCACATAATCCCTAAACCCTATCCCCTAAATCCTGAAACCTTAAATCACTAAAATCATAAACCCTCTTCCCTTAAACCCAGACTCTACTCCCTAAAACCCTAAACCCTAAACCCTGAAACCCTAAAACCCTAAAACCCTCAGGGATGGAGACCTCGGACCTGAGCTGCTTGATGACTCCGGCTTCGCCGGAGGCACTTGGGCCACGTACCTGAAAGAGCCAGGCACGGCTCCAGAGAGGTTATATAGGGGTTATAGGATTTGGGGATGAGGACTGGGGGTTTAGGGTGTACGGTTTAGGGATAGATTCGGGTCTAAGTCTAGGGATTAGGGTTTAGGCCTTCTGGAATCAAACAAGAGAATGGACCATGAAATGGAAGCTACGGTCACAAAGAGATCACATGGGGAGATGTAGGGGAATCGAGAAGAACAATGGAAGCGGCCTTGCTATTAGGGAGTATTAAATGGGGTTGAGGGCGTGTAGGGATGGGGGTTAGGGAGTTCAAGGTTTAGGGTTTAGGGTCGGGGCGACTTAGTAAGTATACGTATAGCCGTATAGCCCCTACAAGCCATGAAGTGACCCAATGATCCCCATGGCCCAGTATTATTTCAAGGAGCTAGACAGAATATTTGTCCAGCCCCTTAAGGTCGAGGGGTGGTGCCTTC